CATATGCAAATAACCTCTGTGTTCTGACTGGCAAGGGGGGGGAGAGAGGATTAGCAAAATGTTTAGAATGTTAGAGGCAGGACTCAGGCAAAGCAGCCAGTGGATAGGGAGACCCTCTGAACGACAGATCAGAGAGAGAACTGATTTTGGAGCGTGTGGAATGTTCTAGAGAAGTGCCACCACCATTCGGCTTTTATTTATAAGGGAGATAAGAATGGGACACAAAGTAGAGGGAGATGTAACTGGTCAGGATTAAATAATGTCAAGCATTGGCCTTCTGCTGGTTGGTCATGATGACCCACAAATAGGTAAGGTGGACCAGCATAGCTGCCTACAGGCCAGGAAAATAAACCACTTTGGCCTGCTGCTGTCCCTTTAACAAAGGCTTCTAATGGAGAAACCAGCTAAAAGACTGGTTGAAAAACTGGCAATCCCATGAGTTACACAACACACCTATTGTGTTGTTTGTCATTTGACCAAATAAACAAAAACGGTTTCTTTGTGAAAGGCTGATGTTTCCAAGAGATTGGTTCCATCCTGCAGATGACCTTGAGAGCTTTGGGGTGCTCATTGGACCCAAACATGTTGTTTGAAAGGCAGGTTGGTGTAATGGCCAGGAGTGCCTTCTATCATCTGCATCTGGTTTGCCAACTCTTACCCTTTTAGACTCAACTGATCTGGCCACAAATATCTATGCTTTTGTAACATCATGGTCAGATTACTGTAATATGCTCTATGTTGGGCTGTCCTTGAGGGCAACCCTAAAAGTACAGCCAGTTCAGAACACAGCAGCCTGAATAATGTCAGGGTCTTAGCCAATGGGAAACATCCTAAAACATCTACACTGGTTGTCTGTTTGTTTTCAAGTCAATTCAAGGTGCCACTTATAACCTTTAAAGCCCCTCACAATCCAGGACCAGCATATCTAAAGGACCATCTCCACCCGTATTTCTCCATATGCCAGCTATGACTGCCACCTACTGGCCATTCCACCCATTTAAGGTAGCTCACTTGGCGTCCATCAACCAGAGCCTGTGACTTCTCCATTGTCACTCTCCCTTTGCGGAATAAGCTCCCTGAGGCAGTGGAGGCACCATCCTTAGAAGTTTTCAGAAGGTACTGCAAGGCTGTTTATTTGCTAGGGCTTTTAATGAGGTATAAACTACAGGTATCTCTTGGGGAGAGAGGAGCTATTTGATTTGAGGGGGATTTTCTGTTTGTTTGTTTTAATCTTGTTGCTTTTTAATTGTAATATTTTAAATTATGTTTTGTAAGCTGTCTTGAGCCACAAAGAACAGTGGGATATAAATCTTTCAATTAAACAGTTAAGTAAAGGGGGAAAAGAGATACAACCATATAGAATGAAATGAGAAATGGATCCCATTTTGCAGGTTGGGGTGAAGGTGGGTCCTGGGGCCATGGACTAGTGAGTATAGGGATGTGAGGTTGTATATAAAGAGCAAGCCTGCCATGGGGAGGTGGGTTGTATACGACACTGCCAGTGCAAGTGGATGACTGGCACCAACTCCCTTGAAAGGCTGCTTCCAAGCAAAGGTTTTTGCTTTTTGACAGTAAGCCTGGCACTTGCAGCCTACACAGTGATTGTTCCATCCCTGTTCTGTCTAGCAGGAGAGGGGTAGGCGGTACAGTATTATCACCAAATCCCCACCATGGCTGGTATCTCCTCTCATGAGGTACTAGAAACCCCCTGAAAAGGCACAGGGAGAAGAAATGTCTAAAGCTCTCAAGCCACCTTACTGTGGATGGTGTGAGAGCCAGCTGAAAGCTTGTTTCCAAGTATCTTTTGGTAAACAAAAATAATAGTCAAAGTTAACCTACAGTAGTAGGAGAAATACTGCTACAATACTTACCCTCTGGATACGAATCAGAAAGGGATTATAGGAATAACTCCTGTTTGCTCTGAGGGGTTAACAAAGATAGCTGAATAGAAAGATACTAAATCCTGTATACTAAGCCTTGTCCGTGTCCTAAGTTTAACCCGTCCTGCTGAGGTATTTCAGACATGCCCTGAGGACTAGGCTTTTCAGAACTGTTTAGAATCCATACGCTCCCAAGGACAGCTATAAGAGCTGCACAGGTCCAGAACTCCTAAAATAACAATTAGAGATAGAAGCCAAGCTGGCATCCACTTTTTAAAGAATTTTAACACACACCCATTCCACATTATGTACTTTGCTTGCTATTATACAAGGTCAGCAAGTGCCAGGTGGACATTTGGGTCAGAAATCTAGACTGCAGTTTAGACACTTAGTAATAAACTGCTTAGTTGAAAGCTCATACCAGCAATATTCAGGGTAACTAGATAAGGTTGAACACATACAAAGAACGTGTCTGTTCCATGCCTGCTAAGTTTGCATTAACAACAAGTAGTAAATTGTTCCTTGCCTGGCTGGCACAATGTAGCAGTGCACAGAACCAGGCTAATGTTGTTGCTGCCACTGTGATGGCACCACATCCATCTCCAATATGCCAGAATTTCAGGGGGGGCACACAATGGCTCATGCCACACCCACCTAAGAGTGTGTAGTTAGTTTGCTGCAGGCTCATAGGCTACATACTTAACCTGCTAGTCCTTGGTGATCCTGCAGTTGTAAGAGCTGTGGGATGGATGCTTGGCTAAAGACTATGTGGATGAAGATATCGAGAGCTATGTTTATTGAAGTACATCCATCCCTCTCTGAAAACTACCAAGGGGAAAAGAAGTCTCAAGTAATCTAGAGGACAAGTATCAGTTTTGACCATCAAAACAAGCAGCTGAATGCTGTCTGCAGTCCTCTCCTCACCGGTGTGTTATGACTGCATTAGAATATGTTTCTGCACACTCCCTTGCACCACTGAGGCTGAGGGGGGAAGAGAGGCTTTGGTTTCCTCCAGTCATGTGAATTTAAGAGCAGTATGGATGAGAGGAGGGGAGAAAGTTGATGAAAGAGGTGCTTTTTGTGGAACAGCAAGGAGCTATTTTGAGCCAGGGCAGGAGATATATAAAGCAGGATTTGCTTGTGCAGGATGCTTCAGTGCTTTGATGCCATGGTGATAAGCTCCTTAGAAAGACCAAAATAGAGCAAGATGGATGAGAGGAGTTTAGTGGGGGGGTGGACATGTTTTACAGTGATGGATCTTTTCTAAAAGCTACAAAATACACCCACTTTCCTACTGAATAACTACCTCGTCCTGTATGAGGGAAGGGAAGAACAAGGAATGGTAATAAGTTCTCATGCACTTTTGGAGAGAAATAACAGGCAGAACAGAAAGACCCCCAATTGGTGGGCCTCTAGTTGGTATAATAGCCCCCCCAAGAGCAGCATTGTGTACTCTTAGACGGCTTCACATCTGGCCGTTGTATATTCTGGGAAGCAGCAGCCAATCACTTCCTTATACATAAGCGTCAAAATGCATATGTGCAGTTGCCATATTGTTTTGACATATTGGTTTCCTAATGTGGAGAGCTTTCTTTCTCGAGCAGTTCTAATTTGTTCACTGGAAATGGAGCCAAAGAAGCCTTGCAGAAGCATAGCACTTGGGGAAGAATGGCTTGATAAGAGGCAGTAGCTCAGGTTCACGATGAGCACAATTTAAACTTGTTGCATATAGTTAGTTAATGAAACGCTTGAGCTGACTGGAGAATTTGCATCTGATTGTTTGTCAGATGTAATTGCCTGGGTAGCTGTGTAGCTACTCAAGGACCCAGAAGTCCTGAAGCAATTAACCCCTTGAGCTTGAAACTTCAGTCATTGCTCCTTGATTTTTTATAAAAGAAGGAAACTGTGTTAACCAGTTCTTTGCCCATGCTTTGTTTCTCCAAAAATGCAGTAGCAAAACCATGATGGTTCCATAAGGCCCTACATACGATCGTAGCCACTTAGTTAACAATAATAGTAAAGTAATGCAAAGAGATGCAGCAGGGTTTCCTCTTCAGACTTTTGGACTGACAAAAAAAGGGAAGCATGCACAAATATGTCGATTTTATGATGGCCCAAAGGGGAAGCATTTCCCTGCCTCCTTCCCCCACTGGAGAAATTAACCATCTGCCTTGCACGCTGAGTGATGTTTCTCCCTTTATTACCTATATCTGTCTCCAGCAATTCTTCTTCTTAATTTCTGTTTTCTTGACAAAAGTCATAAACAGCAAGCCCCCACACACTAAAAGAGAAGCTAAGGTTTACTACCTGAATTACATGATTTTACCACAGCCGCCAAAAATTTAGCCACAAAGTGTCTCCAGCAATTGAAATATACATTAAAGTTGTATGACCTTCTCCTAGGCCTGCACCCATTTACACAGCCAACTGTAAAGCACCTTGATCAAGTAGACTGGTGTCCCCCCTTCACAACTCAGCAGTGGTGTTTGGTAAGCCCACCCCTCTCTCCCACCACTACTTTATGTTATTAATTACATTTTAATTACATAAATTAATTTATGTTATGTAATTACAGTTCACAATGTCATAACATTTAACAGGAATCCATAAGATCTCTTTACTAAAAACTTAAGCAGATGCATTAGATCTTTAAGTAGGACCAAACAGAAAATAAAAGGTTGGGCTGGATCCTTTAAGATTTCCACTGGCAGAAGCAGATTGTCTCCCACTTTCCCCTTCCCCAGAAGCTCCTTTTGACACTAAAAGTCTGCTCCAAGGTTCAGGGGACCTGTATGACCATCAAGGAGCATGGGACAGGGGGGGCGCTGTAGGGAAGAGGGGCCAGATTTCCCCCTCTTCCCTCTTGTACCAGCAGGAAGCTGGCAGGATCCAATTTAGTATTTTTCTATGTTCAGCTATCCTAATTGTGCTCTGGGCACTTTATAAGAAATTTATATCTTTATAAGAGATTTATATCTATATGTATATACATAATATAGATAGTAGAGGATGTGTGAAGGATTTAGCGAGGTTTTTTTATTGTATAAAATTATAATGTATAAGATTAACTGTTTGTAGCTCCCATGAAATAAATGTAATAGGGTGTTTTTTTCCTCCCAGATGAGAAAAGAACCACTTTAAAGAGCCGAATAAAAAAAACTGATGAGTGAGTTCAGCTTGCAATGATTTCTGAATGTCCATGGCTCTGATCCCTACATGACAGATGGGGAAGAAGAACAGCACAAGGTTGCCTGTGGCTTGCAGGACCTCAGATACTCTGCAAGGACAACTCTGATTCCATAGACATCCATGCAGATGCATCCATAAAAGCCCAGTGTCAGCAAACCACTTTAACCCACACCACTAACATGGCTTTGCTCTGGCACTTCAGCTACTTCTAGTGTTGTCAGTGGCTCTAACACTTACGCCTTTCTGACAGGAACACAAGGGGAGGGGGGAATTGCTGTGACACATGAATGCATTTTTATTTCCATAAATAGCCATGTTTTGTCATTGCGGGGAAAAGGAGGGAAAGGACCGTGACACAAGAAGTTTCACATATGAAAGATTATTTTTCTTCAAACTAGAGCATCTTTGACGGAAGGAGGAGGAGATAATGGGTTTATTTCGTAGACCTGGAAGACAGGTCTCCTTTTCATTTCTCGAGCCACTTGACAGACTGCAAAAGGCCAGCAGCAGTGAACTGACATCCAGTCTTCACATAGGGTTCCCTGGAGGAGTGGGGGGTGGGAGAGACAAAAACAGAACCTCATCACATTAGAATGAATGTATTTATTTCAACACCTATACCCTGCTTGCCTCCCCCATGTGCATCCAAAGAATCCATACTCCAATACAGGTACTTACAATACCTATTCTCCATTTTATCCTCAATAGCCCGGTGAGGTAGGTTAGGCTGAGAATGGGTGGCTGGCTTGAACTAACTTGGCAGAGTGGGGATTCAAACAGGGGTCTCCCACATCCTAGGCTGATGCTCTTAACCACTGGCTCACATATCAAAATCTTTCCTTAGTTCATAGGCTGTAGTGATAGCTATATTTTTAAACAAGCAGGATTTTTTTTACTGTATTTTACGGATGTGTATTTTGGACATGATGCACAAATGAGCTTCCCCCCACCCCCCAATACAGCTATTGTGTTATTGCTGCCATTTGGCTGTGGTACCCCTCGATGAGACAGAACACTTCCTTTCTATAGTTCTTTACAATGTTTTCGTTCCACAATGATGGAACAACCTCCCCAGGGAGGCATGCCTGGCCCATTCAGTTTCAGTCTTCAGGAGGCAGTTGAAAATGGTTTTATTGAGGCCTGCATTTGGCCAATATCATTTCCTATTTATTGGCAGTTCTAATTGTGATTTTAAATGTTGATCTTGTGTACATTTTTAATAATTGTCATTTGAGTTCTGCAAGGTAGAAAGGTGGCTAATAAATGTTTTAAATAAAATAAATAAATGTATCCCCTGATGATGGTCATTCTGGGGCCCCGGAAGAGTCATCAGTGTTCCACCTACCTGGGATGGGACTGAAGAAACAGTCTTTGAAGTATGAAGGTAGAAGAGAAGAAGAAGAAGAGATTGGATTTATACCCCACCCTTCACTTGGAGTCTCAGAGCAGCTTACAAACCCCTTTTTTCCCTACCCCATCCCACAAGAGACACCCTGTGAGGTAGGTGGAGCTGAGAGAGCTCTTTCCAAAACTGCTCTTTTAAGGACAGCTCTGACAGAACTATGGCTTGCCCAAGGTCATCCAGCAGCTACAAGTGGAGGAGTGGGGAATCCAACCCGATTCTCCCAGATCAAAGTCTGCGCACTTCACCACGACACCAAACTGGCTCTCACACCAAACTGGCATAAGGCTATTTGAGACTGGGGTTGGTTGGGCAAAGTTGTTAACAGGTTCCTTGTGGTCAGAAAGCTTTTCAGGATTCTAGGATGCTGGAGTGATGTTGCCTGAAGACCAACATTGCCTGGATGTGTACTTATGGGTCCACTTGAGCATCTGTGAAAACAGTTGCTTATAAAAAGTCCCATAAGGTTCCCTTATGCACTCCTCTCAGAGAAACTAACTCTATGACAGGCCAGATCCGGGCTAGCGAATCAGGGGCCCCTAAAACCAGCCCACCCCCATCCACCCCAGGGGGATCTGGCAGCCCTAGTTTAAGCAGAGGCCTGTGGCCCAAATGGTGGAAGTTAATTGATTTGGGTATCCTTGAACTTGCAGCTTGCTTTAGAGAAAAAGAAATGGAGGAGATGGGACTATTTCTGTCTTTAGCCTGGGGGGGGGGGGTGAGCAGAAGCCCAAAATATATCTAGGCACTTAAACATGCTTTTCCTGGACTCATTCAGCAGCCATAGCTGCTGCTAATGGAATACGTGCCCTCATGCAAGAGGAGTCATGGCTGCTGCTAGATTCAGAGGAAGGTCAAGGAGCATAGAAGCAGGGCAATAAGTTTAGCTAACTGCTCTAGGGAGTTCTGCTTATTTCACTTTGCTGGCCTTCTCTCTGTTTTGACTCAGACAACGCCACTGCTTTTCTTTGGCTGAATCCACGTGCAGTTTAAATTCCAGCCCAGCAGCACCCGAGCACTCCCCATGCATGCCAAGCCCCCATTCCACCTCTTTGCTTCTGCACAGAGCAGCCTACTTCACACTCTTTGGCCCCTGATCACCTTTTGCCTACAGTTTGCCAACTTCCAGGTGGTCCCTGGAGATCTGCTATTACAGTTGATCTCCAAGGGACCATGATCAGTTCCCCTGGAGAAGATAGCTGCTTTGGAGAGTGGACTCTATGGCTTTATACCCTATTGAGACCCCTCCCCAAACCCTGCCCTCCTCCAGTGTTTTTGTACCACTTTTATGCCAGGTCAACAGCATCTATTACAATTTTGTTCTTCTGTTTGAATGAAGTCTTTGAACAACAGCCTTTTAAACTGTAACACGGTGTTTATAGTCTCACACAAGCTTGCTCATCCAGGCAACAGCCTCCTCATGGTCAAGGAAGCACCACCAGGGGAATCAACAGGGAGGGGGAGGTGTTCCGGACTCCTCCAAGTTAAGAACTTCCATAACCAGAGGGGTAGCAATGCTGATCGTACCTGGTCTTGTCCTGGATGGGGAGTCAAATGGAATGTGTTGAAGTGAGTGAAGGAACATGGATCCATCTGCTGCCCCAGGGAGACACACCAGGCCAATCCCTCTTACTCCGCACAGCTTCAGTGACAACATGATACAGTGGTGTGTGCTTTGATGTGTATTTCACTCCCAATTCCATGCATATAAAAGTAGCAACAAGTCACTTGACACAGAATCAGAGGGTCCGTTCGAATAGGCTAGTGGGGCTTTGCATTCTAACAGCTCTTTGTTCAAACTGGGCTGCTACCTGGGCACAGCCAGATACAAAGGCTTAGTTAGCACACCACTTGCCCATCCTACCAGTCTCTGGTGTGCTAACAGGTAGCTGCTTTGCATGGACAGCAGTCCAATTTAAATGAGATGCTGTGCAAGAACAAAGTGCATCCAGTTCGTGTTTTTATCTCGCCAGCATTCCATTTAAATTGGCCCTTATTGCTTACAACTAAGGGGGTAGTAACATATTTTTTGCATGAGGATTAGATGTACTCCATTACAGCATATATCACAAATGTATTCCACATGCAACTTCGGCTGAGCTAGCAGCCTAGCACTGGTTCCCCACCCTTTGCCCAGCCCATCATAGGTGCCAGTGACGTGTTCCTGGGCCATGTCATACTTATGTGACTGGATAAATGCTTTTGAAACTTCAGTTTGCTCAAGAGCCAAGCGTTTTGCTGCCCCAGAAGATACAGTCACAGAGCTAGAAGGGTCTTATAGACCATCTAGTTCAGCTGCCTGTTCAGTGCTGGAAATCCAAAGCTAGACAGGGATGCCAGACTCCAGGTGGGACCTGGGGATCCCCTGGAATTACAGCTCATCTCCAGACTTCAGAGATCAGTTCCCCTGGAGAAAGTGGAAGTGTTGGAGAGTGCACTCTATGGCACTGGAAAGAAGGTTTAATCTTTTCTGCATCACCATCATTTTCCCAGTGCGGATTGCCCCACCCAACAGCAATTTGCACTGGGGAGAAAATAAACATACTATATGTCTCCCGCAGGGAAGCAAATGGCGGCTGGGGGAGAGGGAAAATGAGACTAGGAGAACGGCCCGAGACATAGAGTTAAGCCTCCTTCTCCCAGCACCAAAGTCCCAATCTGAAACTCTCTTTTTTCATTTTCTTCATTTATACCCTGCCTTTCTCCCCAATGGGGACCCAAGGTGGCTTACAGAATTCTCCTCTCCTCCATTTTATCCTCACAATAGCCCTGTGAGGTTCAGCTGAGAGTGTTTGACTAGCTCAAGGTCACCCAGCAAAGCCTCCATGGCAGGGTGGGGATTCAAACCTGGGTCTCCCAGATCCTAATCTGAAACTCCAAGCACTACACCATATCGGCTCTCTTTTACACACTCAGACTACTTTTAGCATTAAAAAACAGGGGCTTATAATGGATCCATGGGTCATATCTAGTTTGGCCCTAAACGCCAAATGGACATAAATTCCTATTCAAATATGCCTCAGTAAGGCCCAAATTTGTCGTCATATCCTAGGGTAGCCAACCCTGAGTTGAGAAGCTTCTGGAGATCTGGAAGCAGTGTGTGAGGACGGTGGAGTTTGGAGAAGGGAGGGAGATCATCAGGGACTTAGGGTCATACAGTCCACCCCCTAAAGCTGCCATTTTCTTTAGGAGAGCTGGTTTCTGTAATCTGGAGATCAGCTGTAATTCTGGGATAACTCCAGGGCCGACCTAACTTCCGAACATGCTTGCTACCCTTTCCACAAATTTTCATGTTGCAACTTTCTGAATAAGTTATGGAGAAAACACCTCTAGCTTCCTTAATTTCTGCTGAAAACTCAAGAGGACTCAGTAACAGGTCAGAAGGTCAGGCTTGGCAGTATATTTCAACACAGATTCTACAGTTACAGGGGACTTTTGTTTTCCATCTTCCTAATTGTATAGCAAATGAACATTTTTTCCCCTCTGCATAAACTCTTGAGCAATGCAGTTCTGCCACTGCAACAAACTGCTCTTATCCATTGCTTTAAAAACATAAGTGTTCGCTTGGTGCTGATATGCCCTTATAAAACAATGCTGCCTTCTCATCTGTGCCTAAAAAGAGCCCATTTCAAAGGTTTGATGCATTTGTTCTTTTTTGTGATGGTACTCAGTACTTTTTTGTGATGGTACTCAGTACTGAGTACTGTCACCTATTTTCAGGACTCTCCTGAGTGGGTAATTGATGGAAATTGGCACAACTTAATATATGAGTACAAACACTTTTTTCTGTACAAAAAAAGCACTGACTTTAAGAAGGCACCAAGCTAACAGGGGGGAAAAATCTTTGCCCCCAAATGGAGTAGAGATGTCAGATCTTTAGAAAGGTCAGGAATGTGGCAGGCAGGTACTGCTGTTAAGGTTTTATGCTGTGCTCAAAGTAAACTTTTCACCCCTGCAAATATTTTAGGTCCTC